CTCCTTTTTTTTTTTTTTTTAAATATATATTTATTGATTTGAGAGAGAAGGAGAGAGAGAGGGGGAGAGAGAAAGATAGAAACATCAATGATGAGTGAGTCACTAACTGGCTGCCTCCTACATGCCCACCCACTGGGGATTGAGCCCACAACCCGGGCATATGCCCTGACCAGGAATTGAATTGTGTTCTCCTGGATCATAGGTTGATGCTCAACCGCTGAGCCACGTCAGCTGGGGGCTCAGTTGACACCTTCTTGATCAATAAACCTTTCCTTACTCTTATGTTTTGAGCCTTGGCATTTCAAAGCATAGAGCACACAGACTTTGGACCAGTAACACTACCTTGCTATCTATTAATCATGCAAGACCTTCCCCAGGATCTGAAAGATTCTCTCATAATTTCTAGGCACTTAAATTCTCATGTGCCTATATTTTAAATATAATTTACACTTCTGTATACAACTCTATTATTATATAGTTAGCTCATTCAAAACCAGTGTTTCAACTTCTGTGCACCAATCTGCTAGGAATGGAAGTCACAATCATGGAAAGTTAAAACAAAACTAATGGTAAAAACTAGACACAAGTATAAGAACTATAGTGGGAGAACAAATGCCAGTATGACAACATGAGGAGCTCTACCAGATATGCTCCCCAGTAAAACTGGTGAAAATTATTTTAAAAAACAACTAAAGCCTCTGTAAATGGTTCTTAGGGCAAACAACAAATGAAGAAACATCTGTTCAGGAAAACCTATGAAATTCTTCAGCAAGAAAGGCAAGATCAATGGTATCTGAACCAAAATTGATCCTTCCCTTGTCTCTTCCAGATCAGTAAGGGTGGCTCTACTCCAGGCTGTTGAGCCCTAGAACACAGGGCTCCCTCCTCCCCAACTTCCCATACACAGGGCTTTCTTCCCTAGGAGCAGGACTTCAGCATTTCACATATTTTCCCAGCTGCCTGTTGCTGAGCAGGCTAAGGCCTGAGCAACTGTGGGTAGAGAGGTAGAGGCTCCTAGCCTTCTCTTATGGAGTAGAGACTCTACCTTGGACGTGGAATGCTGAGAATAATGGGACCCTAACTCTCCTTCTCTTGGCTCATGAGGCAGTGGTTCTTTGCTGAGAGACCTCAGACTACTGCCCCCTACTGAACCAAAGGGTTCAACTCCTAAAGTGAGTAAATCACTCAGAGAACAGCTAGCTATAGTCCTCACCTGCAAATCCAGAGCCTTGGCTAAGAGATTCTGCCTGGGGGCAGAAAGCAAAAAAAGAGATAACTACACTAATTTGAAAAAATATATATGCCTCTACGTTCAATGCAGTGTTATTTATAATAGCCAAGATTTGGAAGCACCTCAAGTGCCCATCAGTAAATGAGTGGATAAAAAAGCTGTGGTACATTTACACAATGGAATACTACTTGGCCATAAAAAAGAGGAAATCTTACCTTTTACCACAGCATGGATGGATCTAGAGAGCATTATGCTAAGTGAAATAAGCCAGTCAGAGAAAGACAAGTACCATATGATTTCACTTATATATGGAATCTAATAAACAAAATCAACTAACAAACAAAATGGAAATACAGTCATGGATACATGCAACAGATTGATAGCTGTCAGAGGGGAGGGGGATGGGGGGCTGGATGAAAGAAGGTGAAGGAATTAGTCGAAGAACATATATACAAAACCCATAGACACAGACAACTGTGTGGCGATGGCCAGAGGGAAAGGGGACTGGGGGGATGTAGAAGAGAGTAAAGGGGAGATAAATGGTGATGGAAGAGACTTGACTTGGGGTGGTGACCACACAATACAATATACAGATGATGTATTATAGAATTGTATACCTGAAACCTGCATAATTTTATTAACCAATGTCACCTCAAAAAATTCATTTTTTTAAAAAAGTGAAAAAAGGGGGGATAGAAATCATTCCATTTTAGGAGGCACAATTTGATTAGATTAGTTTGTCAAGGAATTTGTGCCCTAGGGCACTGTTATAAACAACAGGGCAATCAACTAGTGGAGATTAACACTGTGTTTTTAGGGTGGGGAGTGGAAAAAACAAACTTCACTAAAATAATACAGGCACTAAACCAATAAACAAGCACATAATAACAAGCCCTGAAAGGGAGGACCAGTACCCAGAATTGCTACAACATATTATCGAAAATATGTTTCCAATAAAAAAAATTATAAGGCATGCAAAGAAACAGGAAATTATGACCCATACATAAAAAAAAAAAAGAAAAAAGCAGGCAACAGAAATTGCGAGAGTGACTAGATGTTGGATTTAACAGCAAAAGATTTAAAACTAGCCTTTATAAATATCTTCACAAAACTAAAGGAATGTTTGATAAAAGAAGTAAGGGAAGTATAACAACATCGTATCTAACAGAAAATATTAATAAAGAGAAATTTTTTAAAAGAACCAAATGGATATGAAAAGTACAATAACTGAAACAGAAGAACTGTAGTATGTAGAAAGAGCCTTGGACTAAAAAAAAAGACTTCTGATCCTAAAGGGCTAATGTATGTTCTTACTACAAGACAACTAAATCTGCATCTAATATACTTTTTAAAAAATCTACAACTTTCAATAATAAAACTAATTAACTCATTTCTATGATTTAATCATAAATATATACGCTACTTCTTGAATGACATCCATTTTGATACATACTTAGCATTTCTTTAAATAGTGATACAATAAATAGGTTAAATCTCAAATATTTAATAATAATATGAAAAATCTTACTGGTCTGACGTCACCGCAGGAATTAGTAAATTGTCGAGCCAAGCCAAAATCAAGCATGTAACACTTCCTACATGTACTAGGAAAGCGACCCATGGCAAAGTTCGACTAGAAAAATAAAGAAGGAAAATATACATATTATTATAATAATTAGTCCTCATATCTTATCCTTCCTATATTTTAATTCTTCTACTTAAATTCTATATAATACATGTCCCAAATACACTACTGTAGTCAATTATGTTTACTGTAATTAATACATAATTTCATTGTGGGTTCTATTAATGCCTATGATCAGGTGAACTTTGAGCAACAAAGAATTTAGGTGACCGTATAAAGTTATATACAACACGACACTGACTTAACTGGAAAGAACTCTAACTTCCTCTAAGTCACTGTCTAAATGAAAATCCAATTCCTAACTTTTTAAAATCAGAGGAACTAGGAGTGGGCAAAATTGAATACATAGCTCAGAAATATAAATGAATATCCTAAAGCTGAGTTTCACTAAGTGTAAAAATTAAGATGCAATTTAAAGAAACATTTCAAAACAGATTTAAGGAAAATATACTTTACATTCTTCCCTTAATAAAAATAAATGTAACATTAAATGACCACAAACTTGCAAAGATGGGTATTGTAAACAAGAGAATTTACAAAAGCAAAAGTCAAATTGTTGCAGAATTGTTAGCTTTTATTTTAAAACACTGTTCTACTTAGGGAACTTTCTGATGAAAATGGAAACTTTTCAATCACCACAATCAAATAATGACATTTAGTTTGGCAAAGAAATAAGAGCCAGAGGAATCTACATTATATTAAGTCTGACTCCACCATGTTAATTTTCATTGGCATTTTCAAGTAAACTATTTAAATAATTTTAGAAATTTTGTAGCAACAGATGGGTGTGATTTTCAGCTGCACCAACAAACATATGATAAATTTCTAGTAAATACACTATTTCAGAAATTAGTCATTCCCCTTGTGAGCAATTAAAAAAAATGAGAAGGAAAAATAAAAAAGTATATTTCACAGTTATGAAAATGACAATTTCTAAGAAAAACAATAGGAAAAAATATTCTTTATTGCCACTGTAGCACTCGGAGGAAAAAGTAGTATTTCAAAACTGATTGTTTCTTATAAATATAATTTGTCACTTAAAAATACCTCTCGGGGAGCATGCTCATGCCTTTCTCCTCCCCATTTCCCCCCCCAGGCATGTTACCTTCATCTTCCTCTCTCCTAAGCTCCAAGGACCCTTCTTTTGCCTCTGAAACTTTTTTTCTGTGCCCACTTCTTCTATCACTCACTTCTTTTACCTCTGTGCCTTTCTAACTAAACTTTTTCTTACAGTTTGAATCTTGGCTCTGAATGTTTTCCTAGCCAGAACTCAAGTAAAAAAACAAACCACACCAGATAAACAAAACAAAACATAGTTCAAAGAACATCATGCCAACATATCTAAAAGCAACATATGTAAATATTTTTAACCAATATTAGGAAAAAGAAATCCAAGGAATAACTATCAATTTAGGTGTAAGGCTAAGTAATTAGCAATGTTAACACATATAATAATAATAGTCAAGCATTAATCATTTTTAATTTGGCTGTTGAGCAACATTTTCATTGTAAGAGAAAAGCTCTTGAATATAAGTTGTAATGTGTAATTATCATTTTTTTTAAAATGAAGAGGCAAATTATATTTTGCTTCCAGTTACATTTTTGCTACAGAAATTAAAATATTACTTTGTATGTAATATAGAAAGCTATATTTGTAATATATTGTGTCCCATTTTAAGATTAAGAGTAGCAAACAAACTTATTCTATGCTCTAGCTGCAAAAAGCCCCCTACCGGTTTGATGTCTCGGTGCAAGAATCCCACAGAATGGATGCTCTCAATAGATTCCAGAATCTGTCTACCCAGCCGAAGAGTAGTGCTAATAGTGAATGTGCCCCGGGACTGGCTACGGCGTAGATCTGCCAGATTCCGACCCTATGGAAACCAAATAAACACTTACAAATATGGTACTAAAACTATGTTATAAGAAAAAAGGAGGAATTATCCGTTTACCATTAAAAATGTTTTGACTTGAGTCCAGCCGGTGTGGCTCAGCAGTTGAGCATCTACCTATGATCCAGGAGATCACCGTTCAATTCCAGGTCAGGTCACGTGCCCGGGTTGTGGGCTCGATCCCCAATAGGGGGTGTGCAGGAGGCAGCTGATCAGTGACTCTCTCATCATTGTTGTTTCTATGTCTCTCCCTCTCCCTTCCTCTCTCTGAAATCAATAAAGATATATTTCTTAAAAAACGTTTTGACCGAAATAGCAAGGATTTTACCCAAACCATTATTCTCTCAAGAGAAGAGATTCTGTTAGGATAATACATTAATGTTTCAGACAAATCTAAGAATAACCAAAGCTTTTGAACATATTATGTTTCTGACTCACAATTCCTTTTGCTTCTGATGTCATAACAAAATATAGTCTGATTATTTTAAAAGATTACATATATATACATAATTAATTCCTTATTACTTCCTAACATTTATTTCCATACAAACTACTTAATTTTTCTGTCAGTTTCCTTATAAAATGGGGCCAGTGTTTTGTGAGGATTAAAAAAGTGTTAAGAATCGTGTCTGGCAAACAGTAGATACTCAAATAAGTGCTAATTATTGTTATTGTGAACAAAAATGGTATGAAACACTCAATTACTTTTAGCAGTAGATAGAAGCAATGAATGTATCTAACCTGTGCCAGATACATTACATTAGTGATTGCATTTAATTCTCACAGCACCTGAAACAGAAGTTGTCATTCCTGTTTTACAGATGAGGAAACTGAGGCTCAGAGAGTTTAAATAATGTTAAGCTGTTAAGGTAAAGTTGCCTTTCAAATCTAAGTCTGTCTGACTCCGAAGTGTTCTTCTTCCACTTTACAGTGCTGTTCCATCAAGAAAGTTCCTTATACCCTAGGTAACAACCAGTAATCTGATGAGAACAGGTTACAGTGCTACAGTTCTATCTCCCAAAGAATGGAAACTGGCCCCTATATCTCAAGGAAATTTAAATATCCCTATCTCTCTATTCCCGAAATTTTGTAGTATATGTTTAGAATTAATACCACTAATACCATCACCTCAACTAAAGACAGTTGATTCACTTTTGAAAAAGTAGATTCTTAAGTTACCTGAGTACCATCTGAAATAAAATATTAAATAGTACTCAAGAAATCTAAGAATTAAAAATTTACCAGCATGTCTGGAGCCTTTCATACTACGTATCTTCTTTAAAAATGCAGTTTTCCCACAGCACAAATTGGTAGTTATCTTTATTATTTTTGTAATGTTAGGGGAATTTATTGTTCTCTATATCCTTAGCAAATGGAAAGTGATAATCGAGAACAATGACTTTTATAATCCCATGAGAGTACCTAATAGCTTTCATTAGCATTCCAATAAATTTTTTCTTCAAAAATCAGTGTTATGATTGTCAAAAATATACCTAATACTGGAACTTTATTTATAAACACCTTCCACCATAATAAAAGCTTTTGAAAGGAAATCAATTAAACTAGACTTATGATATTAATAATGATTTGAAATTTTAAATCTTTTAAAATGTAAACCTCAGGTATCAAATAACAGAATCTAAAAAGATAAACACAAGGCTGGCAAAAGTATGAGGAAAGAGTTGTTAACATGGTAAGTACATGCAAATTTGATCCAGCAAATTATATACAGGGTGGGGAAAAGAAGGTTTACAATTGTGAGTATGTAAAACAGAGCTTATTCTTGAATTACTTATTAATTATTGTATTATTTTCCATACAAACAACTGTAAACCTACTTTTGCCCCCCTATACTTCAGAGTATATACTACAAATGGTTATTATTTGTTACAGAGATAAATTGAAAACAACCTATATATCTATCGTTAAATGAACAATTAAATAAATCATGGTACAGTCATCTCACTGACTAATATGCAGCCACTAAAAAAAGAACCTTTATACATAGTAATATGGAATAAATATTGAAAAAAAAGTAAATTCACTTCTTCCTAACTGATTTTGTAAGTTGAACATGATCCCAATAAAAATACAAATAAAATTATTAAAAATTTGAAACATCCTTAAAGGGAGAGAAAATAATATAACAAATTCTTATCTGTTATTTTACTACCTCCCAACAACGCACACCCTCCTCTACTTTCCCACACACATACACTGCATTATTTTCATGTAAATCCCAATCATATCACTTCATCTACATATTTTTAAAAGTGCGCAAAGAAATGCACTTTGATGTTCTTGAACCTCACAATATAAAATCAAAGAGGGTATTAGCAATTCTATTAGCCATTCTCAAAACTGAGTTGGAAATATCAAAATTAACCATGATATATTTTCTCTTAAAAAAATTTTATACATACATATATATATATATATATGTATATATATATATATATATCCTGAACCCATCCACTTGAAAAGAACTTAAAACAATGATCACCAACCCAAGTTCAATAGGGACCCATAGCATCTAGATTGTGGTCTCTGAATACCCTTTCCCATTAACAGAATACAGGGCTTAACGGAGAAATGGCTAATTCCAGCTCTGAAGCATGAAATATATAGAATGAGCCAGGTACACAATGTTGTACCAGAACGTAAGGACACTATCAAAGACTCCTGCAGTCTAGTCCTGTCAAAATGAAGCAGGATCCAACTTGAAAGAAGTCCTGCTAGCCAAAGATAAGACAATTTGAACATTAAAAAGAAAAATGATGATTGAAAGATACAAAATATGTTAAATATATAAATTCAAAATTATATTTTTTAAAGAGAGCTAATTAGTCCCCTTTGGAAAATATTAGGGAACCAACTCACTATTCTGAAAACTGGTAAATAAAAGAAAAGAATCAAATATTAGTCCTGTCCTTCCTGTATGAAATGTTATCCTTCCTCAGGATAACCCAATAGTTGGTGGAATGCTTTTTAAAGAATTCCAGCTAATAACTGAATTAGAAATTACAGAATTATAGTAGTACATGTGCAACCCCACTGAAGTAATGGATCTAGGAAATGATTACTAATGGGTTAATAAAACCTAGGAGAAAAACCACTGGGAACTTTAAAATGAATGAATCAGGCTGACAGTCCCTGCATCTCACTGATCAATCTTAACATTCCTAAAAGAGAGACAACCAGACACTGACTATTGATGTGAATCAACTCACCTCTGAAGTATTTTGGCCAAACAAAACAAAATTGGAATCTGATTTAATCACCAGTTTATAGAAAATACAGGGAGTAGAAGAACACGTTAAACAACACCACAGGGAAACAATCAGCAAAACCCAGAATGTGGGAACTTCCACATGACAAATTACTCCATTTTTATCCATGACAATAAAAACAGTAACAAAAAGAAAACTGAAAGGAAAAAAGAGAGGGAACCTATAGATTAAGAGAGATTTAAGAACCCACAGTGACATTTCTCAGTCTATCCCCTGTATCCCAATAAAAACAAATTCACAGGAAAAAAAGAGATTTAAGAGGTCTATCTACTAAATGCAATGTATGAACCCTGTCTGGAACCAAATTCAAGTAAACCAAATATAAAAGAAGAGAGAGATACAATCAAGGAAATTTGAAGACTTACTTGAAATTTGATGGTATTATTTAGGAATTATTGTGTACTGTGGATAAAATGGAAAAAAGGAATCCTTCTTAGAAATATATATTAATATTTTTACAGATAAAATATTCCTTGGATTTGCTTTGAAATAATAATGGGGAGGGAGAGAAAATGGAAAATATACTTGGAACAAGATTGGCCACATATTGATAATTACTGAAGGTGGGTGACAAGTACATGGGTACATTATATTATTCCACTTCTGTGTGTATGTTTAATTTTTTCCAGAATAATAGAACATTTATAAAATATAGCAGCCTTGATGTTAGGCAATCTAGATCTACATCTGTTCTGGTTACAGGACTGAAAATATTTTTTTGTCCCTCCCTAGGTGATATGCTTATCATAAAATATCACCCTTTGGCTACACTAAGGATGCTCGTGTAAAGCCTCAATGGTGACAGGATAGTAAATGAGATCTGGCCAAGAACACTGGTCTCAGGCTTCCACCAAGCCCTAACACCCATCAGGTAACCAGTCCCAGGCAAACTACAAACCAACTTGAGCTTCAGCCTTTCCATTTGCAAAATGGGGAAACAACTTGTCCTATCCTCTCCATGGAGACATGGTGAGAATCAAATAAGATGTTCACAAATCCAAAATAAAACTTTAAAATATCATAGTTGAAAACTATAATATCATAGTTTAAAATATAAAAATTACATTATTAGCCAAAGTGAGAAAAAGCTGGATCCATATTAATAATCTAAAAAGGTTGAGGAACAGCTGCTTCAAGAAATAAAACTGTGCTGGCTCAAGATAGAGAAATATATGACTCAAAGACTTTAAGTCTGCAAAGAGATTAATATCTTTTTTTCTTTTTTTTTTTAAATATACCTTTACTGATTTCAGAGAGAGGAAAGGAGAGGGAGAGAGAAAGACAGAAACATCAATGATGAGAGAGTCATTGATCAAGCCCACAACAGGGCATGTGCCCTGACCGGGAATCGAACCCTGATCGCCTGGATCCTGGGTCGATGCTCAACCACTGAGCCACGCCCAGCAGGGCAATATCTTTAAATCTAAATCAAATGCTGAAGGATAGCTGATGGAAACAAGAAAAGCCTTCCAAGAAGAGTAAGCATTTAGGCCAGGACCTATGTCTCTGAAATCACTGCTATGTAGTTAAGCTGAAAGAAAAGAAAAGAAAAGAACCAAATGCCCAAAACAGATTTTGCTACAGATGCAAGAAAACCTTGTGATCTCTAAGTCAGGCAGCAAGGTGAACGAAGCTTTTACATTTTGAGGGAGGCTACAGTTTGGAGGCGCGCGCGCGCGCGCGTGCGTGCGTGCGTGCGTGCGTGTGTGTGTGTGTGTTTGGGGCAGAGGTAGCAGCAGAGAGAGTGGGATGGTTTCCTCTTCTCCCTGCTGCAGTCATTACTCCAATATTCATTCCCCTTCTTAATTTCTCTCCACTGCCCCAATCCAACTCCACTTTCCATCTGAAGAATAGGGAACAGAGAGAGCAATGTTAAAAGATGAAAAGATAAAGAGGAATAGCATGTCTCCTCTATCTCAACTAGTGCTTAAATTTTTAAGTGGGTAAGGCTGGTACTTGAGTGCATAAGTGGAAAACTAGTCTTTAAAGTAACAAAGGGTAGAAAGGGAGGGTACAGGGGCAAGGCAAGACTCACATTATATATATATGGCAATCCATGTAGGGATTGAAAACTTAGCAATAATCACAATCAGTGAAGATATGAATCAACTAAAATAGCTGACAGACAACCCTTCCATCTTTGGAAATATTTGTATCAAGTCTGTTTAAATGATTTTGTAGGGTATGTTTTTATTGATTTCAGAGAGAGGAAAGGAGAGGGAGAGAGAGAGACAGAAACATCAATGATGAGAAAGTCATTGATCGGTTGCCTCCTGCACGCCCCCTACTGGGGATCGAGCCCACAACCTGAGCATGTGCCCTGACCAGGAATCTAACCATGATCTCCTGGTTCATAGGTTGATGGCTCAACCACTGAGCCATGCTGGCTGGGCTAAATGAATTTTCATCTGCATAATATAAAACATTCTGAGATGATACCAAGAATGTTGTTGTTGTTATTATTTCTTCTTCGTCTTTTCCACTATAATTAGGTACTTTGATAAAAACTGAGAGATTTTAAGATAAATTTTCAAGGTAACTTACCTGCAACTGCATGACCACATAGTTGAAGCGATCGTTCCTCCCACAGCCAATAAATCTACAAACATGGTCTTTTCCTGGAGGGAAAAGAAAGAAAACAATGGAAAAGGTTATGTATATTTTCTCTTCTAAAAATCAATAATTTGTTTTTCTGTATAGTATTTTATGATTGAATATAAAGGAACTGTCTTAAGAACCTTAAGGATAGGAAATTTGTATTATTCAAATTTACTATTTATCTCCCACCAAATCCTACACTGCTCTTTGTGTAGTCAAATAAATGTTTACTGAACAAATAAATAAACAAATGAATGAGGGAACAAATGAATGATAATTTACTTAGAAAGGAAAGAATTAAGAGGTCATTTCAGATCAGCAGCCAAGACATTATATATATGAAGGCACAGAAGAGCAACAAATAAGAACTTTGTTAGGAATATAAATCCTGAATTTTAGATGTGGTCTGCCATTCACCATTATGACTTCAGTGAGTAGCTTAATCTTTATGGGCCTCACTGATCTGAATTAGCTCAGTGATTTTCAACCTGAGTTCCACATGTAAAATCCAAGGAGGTGCTGCCTAGGGTGCAGAGGGAAGCAGGTGTGGAAATGGTGGAAATCTAGGATCCTGTCTCCTGATTGCACAAAAGCAAACAAAGGTTTTATTTATTTATTTATTTATTT